GGTGGCTCAGTTTTGGCGCGACTGGGGGGCCGGGGCAGGGGCAGGTGCGCGGGGCGTAATGCACTGCGGCGGCGGCGTTGGCAGGGCGCGGGGGAGCGGCGCGCAACTGTCCTCCACGGTTCCCCGGCTTGGTGATGACGAATTAATGTCCATGGCGCTTGAGCTCCTTCGCGTCGAAATGTCCGGCCATGTCGCGATGGCAGCAGGGAGCCGCGGGATATGCAAAACCAGAAGCTCTTGGGATCATCCAGTACAAAAGCCCCCATCCCTTGTTTGCGCCCTCCGCGACTTCCAGGCCCAATCCTTGGGAGGCTTTTAGGTGCGCGCGCGCTGCCGCCATCCTGGGCCGCGCCGCGCTAACGGCGGCGATGGCGCCGCGGAGACCACCCCCGCCCAACAGGGAGCAGGCGCGGAGATGGAAGGAGAGCCGAAGCACAGCGACGGCGGCAAGGGAAAAGGAAAATACCAGTGGCGCGCAGAAGGGGCCGGCGCCAAGGCAGCGGGCAGCTCGCCATCGGCCGCGGCCGCGGCGACGGGGGGGAGCGGCAAAGGCAGGGGGAGAGGGCGCAGCCCCCCCCAAACCCGCCAGCCACGCGCAGCGGACGACTGCGAGGAGTTCGACCTCCGAGGGCGCATCAACGGACTCCAGCGGCCGGCTCTCCGTTCGGCAGCAGAGAAGATCAGAGATGCGAACCGCATGCCCTCGAACTTCTCGCGCATGCCAGTCAGCAATTGGGCGTTTCGGAAGTCGACGGCAGCGGGGCGCTACTACGGGAACCAGATCGGAGCTCAGCTACCCCAAAGTGGTGATCTGTGAAGCGCGCGGTCCTTCGGGATGGCAGCGACTGAAGCTGAGACTCGGGTGTCCGGGCAGGGAGTCCATGAGTGGCTCACGTGGCAGCTTGTCCGGCGCCTTCCACACAAGGTGGTAAACCTAGCTATGACATGCCGGCGCGGCATTCGTGTTCACTGTGTAGCGGCTTGAGGTAACCCTGCACCCAATGACAGCGGCACTGGGGTCTCGGCGCTCTGCCCCTCCGCGCAAGCCGAGGGGGGTGCGCCGGTGCCAGAACCCTCAGCCCACCTGCAGCTCGCCAGATATAGTGTCATCCCAGTGTCGTGAGGAAACCCAGACGGAGGAACCTGCGGGTGTGGCTCGCGGGGCCCTTACGAGCAAGCCCTCCGTCGAGTGCAGGATAGTGCCTAAGGTCGCTAGGCGGTGGCCCATGTTAGCTGTGCCGGAGGGGTGGTCTACAGGATCTTTCTCGCCCACGCCGAGGCACAAAATGGGGCCGCGAGGCATCCGCGCGGGGATGGCGTTCATGGAAGGCACCCATGAGTTGGTGTCGGACTGGCAGGAATAATATCAAACAGCAGCACCGTCATCAATAGATCGAGCAATGGACACCCTAAACGATTTCCTGGATCAGGTGCGGGACATCAGCGATCGCATCCAGGCCGTGATCATAGAGACGATCGAGATGTGCATGGTCAGCGAGAGCTATATGGCGCGCAACAACAATAACAGCAACCCGAACGAGGACGAGCAGGAATTCTGGGAGGAGGGTTCAGGCAAGATGCAGATCGGCATCAACGAGCCCCCCAACTTCGGAGCGGTGCTCCCGAAGGACATGAACCAAGAAACCATGGCGAAGCTGGACCTGTTCGCGGGCCACAACCCGAGGATGGCAACGGGTGTGTTGATCGTCTACGTGGGAGGCAAGAAGTCCCAGTCGGCGACGCCAAAGCCTGAGCTGGAGAGGGTGGCGCGGCGGGAACTGCAGCGCCGGCGCCGCTCAGGGCGGAGGGGGAGGTTGCATGAGTGAGGTTTTCTCGGAGTGCTGCGCCGCAGGGGTCAGATGAGGCAGTTGCATTGGCGAGGTTTTCTCGGGGCGCAAATGCTCCAGGGCAGAGTGCCAGGCCGCTGCTGACCCTGGCATGCGCTTGCACTGCACCTCCGATTACGTCGGCATCAAGCAATGAGGGCGCCGCCCCGGCCCCCCCCCCCTTAGGCAGTTGGGCACGAAGGGGGGTGGGCACCTTTCAGGTCATGAGAGTATAGCAGAATCAATCAGCATGGGCGTTGTGCGCATCACCAAACTCTGACGTGTTGCCCCAAATGGTAGGAGATCCGACATGGCCTTGAAGTGCCGAACAGGACGGGAAGCGAAGTTGCAGAGAAACGCGTGGGGGAAAGGCTTTCCTGGCATCAACCAGCCCACCCGTCCAAGTCAGTAACCGACGTCATCTACCATGGCGACGCGATGCGAATCTCCATCTCCCTTCCCTTTTTTCCATTGCGGATGCGGAGAGATAGCATGCGTGGTACTATGCGTGTTGTACAGCATGCGCACAATGCATAGACGGGTCACGGTCAGCGTGGGGGAATGGGACCTGCATAGCAGGTGCAACGCGGCTAACAGGGCATATGGGAATACGCGACCATCTCCCTCCAACATATTCGGCTACCACAGCCGACGTGGCTCAACCCTGGCCCAGGTGCGCAGCGCTACGCACTAGCAGGGTTCTCGGGGCGCGCGACGCGGGGGGGCCACCCATGGCCTTCGCGGGCAGCGGCCACTATGGCACCATGGCCTTGCGGGCGTTGCAACAAGGGGTTCCAGTGCTGCGAGATGATCGAGATCCACAGCGGCACGCGAGAAAATATCAAGGAGACAAAGGCAGTGAATCAAAGAGAGTGCGCGTCGACTGCGAGCTGGAACTGAGGCAGGGGGAGTGGGAACAATAGAGGGACGAAGAAAAGACGCTGCATGCAGGAGAGAAGTATACCGCTAGAGACCAGGTCTGCCGAGAACAGAAGGGGGGGGGCAAGCGGGGCCGCGCGGGCGGCCCAGGCCCGAGGGGGGAAAACAAGGGAGAATATATATATATATATATACATATATGTATATAAAAAAAGCAGCGCGAGCACTCCTGGCGGCAGACGACGGCCCACATGAAAAGTCTCGCACAATAAGAAACAAGTTGGCCATAGAAAAGCCAAAGGAGATGGCAGAGGCGCCGCTGGAGGGCATCAGAATGGACGGAGGAATCTTTGAAGCCATTAGCAAAGCAGGAGAAAGCATGACAAAGGCTCTGCGCTGCACGGAAGAATTACGACATGTTGTTCAACTAGTGCACGGCCATGGACACTAATGACGAAGATGCACTGAAGGCGGCAAAACAAGAGTGGCTACAGGATGGCGAAGGACATGGGTGGCAAACAGTCGGCGCACTTCGAGGTGCTGGACTTCGCGGACATGTGGAGCGACGCCATGCAGCAGTTCATCGCGTGCAGGAGGGCGCAGGATGGGGCGAAAAGGTGGGGGGGGGCTGCTCGCGCGGGCTTGCCATGCCAGACAAGTTGTGGCGGAGAGGCCCCAGCCCCAACTCGGGAGGGGAGGGGCGGCAGTTATGTTGCGAGGCGGATTCGCCACAGCTCGTCAAGGCGCAGGAGAGCCACCCAGAAGATGTGCTTGTGAAAGAGTGGGGGGACAAGATGAAGGACACGTTCGGCGACGACTGCGAGGAGTGGCCAAAGATCGAGCGCGGGTGTAAGTCCCCCCTGTTAAAGAGTGGGCCGTCGGTGGCGGTGGAGCTCAAGGCGGGAAACAAATTGCAAGCGCTCGTAGCAGAGAGGCTACCGCAGCAATTCAACGACGCCATCAAGGAGCGCCACTACCAGTTTTTCGACCCCGCCCAGAAGATGGGCCCAGAGGAGCTGTTCGAGCTGATCCCCGCGCCCTTCCCGATGACGCACAAGGTATGAGGTTGCGACCTCATCGCAAGTTGCCCTGCGGGCGCGCGGGGGAGGGCAGAGAGGAAGGCCTTTCCTGTGCAGAGCCGGCGCGAGCCGGGGTTGAAAATATCAGAGAACGACGAAGAGAACTTTCGCGAAGTCATGAAGGTCGCTTTGAAGGAGGTGAGCAACGAGGACAATGCCGACCCAGAGGACGTGAAGAGGCTGAAGGAGCGCCAGAAGCTACGAGACAGCACGCAGTCCTTGCTGGAAGGCGCCGAGATCTCGAGGCAAAGTTCGGCTACCCCAAGTCGGAGGAGACGACTGCGGCCGGCTGCCCCAGCGGCCTCCAGTGAGCGCGCCCGCTGGGGCCTCTTGGAACGCCGAGAGAAGCATTAGCGAGGTTTTCTCGGAGTGCTATTCCGGGCAAGCTGGGCGAGCTCACAGGCAGCCATGATATGCATTGGCGAAATTATCTCGGAGGGCAATTCGGAGCATACAGGATGGGCATCACGAAGTGCTCGCACTGACATGGCAATAGGATATGTGTTTGGAGTGACGACAGGTGCATTACTGAAGGGTGTCGAAGGAGAAAAAAGTGATCATCACGAAGTCCACCAGAGTGCTTCTCGATGACCCCATTTACCATATACCGTGATTACCAACATGCTCTACCCCACATGCATTTTAAGGGATTATGGTGGGATGCTACAACAGGGTCTCATAATACAGATGCGACAGTGCATGGGGCAACTTTCGGCCAGACCGAGAAGTGAGCCGAGTGGGAGAGGGGAGCACTGAATTAAAACAGTAGAATAAGCAGCCCCCCAGCAACAGTTTGGGGTTACGGGCCTCCCGTCCCTCCCCCGTCTCCTCCTTTGAGCGGTCGTGTCGTCGTCTCCTCCCCCTTGGCTTGGGCTCGCTGCCAAGCCCGGGCGTCCCCTCTCCTAGGGCGCGCGGAAGGGCCAGCAGCCGCTCCCCCCGCACTCACCCGCAGGGACTCGTGAACGCAAGGTAGCGAGCCTCTCTTACGGGGCCACCTCGGAGCTCAGTCCTCGAGCAACGTGGCATGCCCCCTGCCCGCCTTCGCGAGAAGGCAGGGCTGTTGCACGACCGATCGCAGGGGATTTTGGCAGAAATGCGTAAGACAAGCGTCGGTGTTTTGACGCTGCACCCCCTTATGCGAATGTCCTTGTCCTCCCTTCCTCTCTCGTCCTCCGGTTCCCTCCCCTCTCCCTCCCTCCCCGCCCGCGCCCCCGCCAGCCGCAGCTTTCGGGCGCCTCGCGCCCCTGGGCCGTGGCTGCAGTTTCTGGCGCGGCCGCGCGGCGCAACGGCCGGGGCGTCCCCGTTTCCCCCCCCCGTGTCGAGGCCCCTCGGCGCGCGCGCGCGCGCGTTGTTGCTGTTGTTGTTGCTGCTGGTGCTGTTGCTCGTGCTCCTCGTTTCCCATTGGGGCTCCAGAAACGGGGGTCGATGCAAACCGGGGTCAGCCTGAGCGCGGGACGTTGCAGGATCCTGCAGGGCCAGGGTCTCAATAACCCGGGCTTGGGTGCAGGATCTTACAGGATCATGCAGGGTATTTCGCATTGGCCCGGGCTTGGGGGTAGGATTTTGCAGAATTCGGCAAGGCCTACATGACCCGAATCTGGATTGATTTTGGTCAGAATATCCCCGATCCCATCATTAAAGGTCCGATGCTCTGAACAAATTGGAGCGGCACGTTTGTCGTTGCAGTCGGATTGAGGATGACCGAGGTATAAGGTCGGGGTCGGTTCGGGGAGGGTGCTTTGGTGTACTTCGTGTTTGCTGGATGTTCTTGTGCATCATGGGGAGGGTAAGTGTGGATCTTCTGTGTGTTTGGGCCGACGGAGGGTCTCATGTTTTTGAAAGATAGTGTTCTGGCCTAGGTCCGAGTGGCTCCATCGGGCCCCACGACCATCGAAAACGACCCAGGACGCAAAGCTGGCCCAAGAGGGAAGTGATCCAGACCTCCTGGAGTCCAACCAGGGAAAAACTGGAGCGCCGGATGTATGGGTTCCCTATGCCCGACGGCGTGGTTGGATCAGCTGGCGAGACACTCACGGATTCCCACCTTTGGCGGCCGTTGCCGGGCCCCGGGACGAGCAAAGACAGGGCCCGGGCAGAAAGTTTGACTTGGGCGACCCGTCCTCCTCCTCCTTGTCCTCCTCCTCCTCCTTCTCCTCCTCCTTCTTCTCCTCCTCCTCCTCCTCCTCCTCCTCCTCCTCCCCCTCCTCCTCCTCCTACCCCATCCAACTCCTCCTCCTCCTCCTCCTCGTCCTCGTCGTCGTCCTCCTCCTCCTCCTCCTCCTCCTCCTCCTCCTCCTCCTCCCCCTCTTTGCCCCCCCCATCGGAACGCGTACGGCCCCGGGGGAAACCGTCCAGAATTGTCGTGACCTCTTGGGCTATTCTTGTTTTCCCCCACACCAGAAAAAAATCAGGCCCTTTGCACGCGCGCGCTGGTTTTGCTGCTTTCTGAGGACAGCGATGGGGAATGCACTCAGGGGGGAATACACACACCGCCATCCATATCCACATCTTGAGGTCCACATCATCGCACGGCGTTTTGGATGTAATTCCAACTAGGGCAGCCATGTTGCGTACTCGAAAAAATGTGCGCACATAGACCGAACACTTGGCTTTGGCAATATATGAACATTGTTTCACACTTAAAGTCCGTTTGCGGAGTTAATCTGCAATTGACACAGATGGTTGGAATTGCCTCCACTTTGTCGTTCTCGCTGGTTAGAATTACCCCCAGTTGGTTGGGATTGCATCCGGTCGGGTGGGATTACCACCGCATGCGGCCCGCACCCGCCCCCCAGCGGGGAGTGTTTCGACGACCGCGACCGCAATCACGACCACGACCGCGACCGCGATGACGGCGACGACGACGGCGACCACGGCCACGACCACGACCACGACCACGACCACGACCACGACGGCGTCGACGACAAATATGACGACGACGACGACGACGACGACCAGGACAACTACGACGTCGACGACGGTCGATCATCGACGTCGACGGCCACAGTACAAGTACATCGATGTCGTCGTTGCAGATGTTTCTTGGGGGCTGTTGGGCTCTCGTCTCCACGGTGGACGCGGCTTGGGAATCTCGCCAGATGGACTTTGGGATACATATATATATATATACACTTACTTATATCTCGCAGAAAAAGAGGGGGAGGATGACGGGGGTCTGGGAAGGGAGAAGGGGAGAAGGAGGTGCGGAGGGGGAGTGGGAAGCAGTCCAGGTGGGCCCAGGGAGAGGCGAAGCATGGGCCGGTCGCCACGGCGGAAGAAGGCGTCACGCCGACGTTCGCCACAAAGCGAAACATGGGTTGAGAGGAGGGTCAGGAGGGAAGGATGAGCAGGAGCTGATCAGCACGAGGAGCAGCAGCAGGCGGAGGAGAAGGAGGAGGTGGGGGAGGAGGACTACGACGAGGAGCACGAGGAGGAAAGACGGGGAGGACGGAGGACGATCGACGTCGTCGCCGTGTCCGCCCCGAGCGCTGCCGCGTGAATCCCTGGAGGCGCTATGGCCAGGAAGGACTCGGCGCAGGCCGCGCCCAGCGATGTCGTGGACTGCGAGGCGCGCGGCGGTGTCTTGCGGAGCTCTCGGTGGGAAGCTGCTTTCCCGGCCTCGTGGCCCGCTGCTCCACGAGAGGGGAATGGGGAGGGGGAGATGGAGAAGTGGGGAGGAGGAGAGGCGGCGGAGGGCGGCGAGGGGGAGGGGGAGGAGAGGGAGGAGGGGGAGGAGGACGAGGAGCAGGAGAAGGAGGAGGAGGAGGAAGAAGAGGAAGAAGAGGAGGAGGAGGAGGAGGAAGAGGAGGAGGAGGAGGAGGAGGAGGAGGGGGAGGGGGAGGAGGACAAGCTAGGTGCGCTCGCGTCATATCTGACATCCTACCCCTCCCTCCCATCCCTTGCCATGGCGCAGATCCCCTCTCTACTCGCACAGTCGGATGTCGAGCAGGGCAATGATCCCGAAAGGGTACGCGATGCATTGTAGAGCACGGCATGGCATGGCGTAGAAGAGCACCGCAAAGCGTAGTATCAACCTAGCATTGCATTGCATGCCGTGGCATGGCACGGGAAATGACGCCAGCGCTGCAGCGGGAGCACGAGTCGAAACGAGCGGAAGCGCGGAAATGAGGCCAGCGCTGCAGCGGGAGCACGATTCGGAACGAGCGGAAGCACGGAAATGAGGCCAGCGCTGCAGCGGGAGCACGATTCGGAACGAGCGGGGCCCGAAAATGAGGCCGGCGCCTCAGCGAGAGTAGCATTTTGGAAACAAATGCAAGCGAAAACCCAAGTCTGGGGAAACTTGTGTGTAAAAAACAGTACGCGGGGGGGGGGTCGAGCACTTTCAAACCGTCATCAGGGGAAGAGGGAGAGTAGTATTCATATTGAGTAGTTGTCGAGGAGCAGGAGGAGGAGCAGACGGGCATAGTTTCCTGGCACGGGAAAGGTACATCAGGAACTGGCAGGGGCCAGATGCCTTGCGACTCGCAGCCCCACCAGCCCCACTCCGCACAGCCATGGTTCAGCCGTGGGGGTCCCACGGACTAATCGCCAACGGGGGCTGCAGAATGTATAGTTCAGCTACAACGGTTCGTAGCGGTTTGGTCGAAGAGCTGCAGGGCCAGTAAAGGGAAACGGCCGACGGGCACGCAGAAACGGGCCCCGTAGAGAACATGCAGCTTCCAAACAGGGGGTCGCCGCTTGGGAGTAGACCCGAAGGTCTCATAGGGCTCACGTGCCACAGGGCACCGCCACACCGCAAAAGTGCGCAATGTTCTTGCAGCTGTCGCGACAGCAGTGGGCCATGGATGGTTCACACCGCGTTGCTTCCAGATGCATGAGAAACGAACTCATCCCTGTCCGCTTGCAGAAACGATCGCCTTTCTGCAGGAGGAGGAGGGGAGGAAGAGGAGGACGGCGGTCCCGGCCCGCCCGAACGTCGCGCCAGGCTGACCTCGCCCGCGCGGCCTTTGTTGAGTTGAGAGCCCCCGCCTAGGCCGACGGCGCGCTGCTGGCCACCTGCCAGTTGGCGTGAAGTTGTGGCCATGTCGGCCTGAGGCAGAGAGTTCCTAAAGGAGCGCGGCTGGCGGCGGGGCGCTGCAGGGCGGCCAGGGGAGGGGCGCAGTTGTCGCGGGGCGGCGGCAAGGCTTCGCTGAGCTGCTGCGGCAGTTGGCCGCTGCCGTGCCGCGGAGCGACCGCGGCTGGGCCGCGGGGCCGGGCGGCGGCGGCAGCAGAGCGGCGGCGGCGGGCGGCGGGCGGCGGGCGCGCGGGCGAGCTTGCGGAGGCGGGCGCTTGGCGGCTTCGCTCACCAGGCAGGAGGGGCACGAGGCGGCGGCGGCGGCGGCGGCGAGTGCTGGGCCTCGCCGACAACGACCCGGCGCCGCGGCGACGGCGGCGTGGCGCCCGCAGGGTGGAGGTGGCGGCGACGAACGGCAGTAGCGGACACTCGGCGAGCGGGCGGACGCGGGCGCGGCGGCGCGCTTGCCCGGCGCGCATACCCTCGCCGAGCGCCCCAAGGGCCTTCTCGGATTCGGGGCCCCCCAGGGAAAGGAGGGGGGAGGAGGAGGAGGAGGAGGAGGAGGAGGAGGAGCAGGAGCAGGAGCAGGAGCAGGAGCAGGAGCAGGAGCAGGAGCAGGAGGAGGAGGAGGAGAAAGACGAGGAGGAGGAGGAGGAGGAGGAGGAGGAGGACCATTGTAAACCCAACACTTTCAACGATGTTGAAGTGCACCCTCCCTCCAGGATCCTCCTCCGTAGGCCCTTTTAAGGAGTCGTTTCCGTTGAGGGAAATCCATCGTTGGGGGGCAGCCGCGTGAACATTTTGAAGCGCGCCAGGGTTTCCATGACTTCAACGCCACGAGTGATCTTGACGGCTACGTCTTGGCGATACTCAATCGCCCCAGCACAGCGAATATACGTTACTGTTGCGGCCTGGCAAATCCTGAAATGCTCCAACCACGAGAGCCAGCGAAACTCTTTGCAACAATGCACAACGAGGGTGGGCGACGTTGTGACGATAACCTCTTTCTTAAGAAGGAACCGACATCAATCCGTAAAGTTCTTGCAGTTCTCCTAAAACGAATGTTCTCGGCGCTGGGGCGAGAACCACATTGAAACCGACCCGCCCCAATCCCCAATCTGTTAATTTGAGACACTTGTTTGAAACGAATGCGCGCGGCGCAACGGCGAGAACAACATGCTGAAAACCACCCGCACTCAATCCGCGAAGCTCTTGCAGATGTTAACGAATGCGCACGGCGCTAAGGCGAGAGCCGCATTTTGAAAACCATCTGCCCTCAATCCGCGAAGCGCTTGCAACGTTTCAACCGAAAGTGCGCCGTGCTGAGGCGAGAGCCACATTTTGAAAACGACCCGCCCTCGAAGCCAGGAAATGTAGCACGCTTCTGAAAGCGCATGCGCGCGGAGCTCGAGCGAAGGACACAGTTTGAAACGACCCGTTTCCAATCTGCGAAGCGCCGACATTTTTTTTTTTTGAAATAGAAAAAACGAATGCGCGCGGCGCCAAAGCGAGAGACACAGTTTGAAAACCACCCGGCCCCAATCCGCAAAGCTCTTGCAGATGTTAAAAACGAATGCGCGCGGCTCCACGGCGAGAGCCGCAGTTTGAAAATCACCCGCCCGCAATCCGCGAAGCCCTTGCAGATTCTCAGAAACGATTGTGCGCGGCGCCAAAGCGAGAGCCACATTTTGAAAACCATCCACCCTCAATCCGCGAAACGCTTGCAAAGTTTGAAACGAATGTGCGCGGTGCTAAAGCAAGAACGAAACGTTGAACGCGACCCGCTGTCGATCCCTGACAACCTTGCATTTTTCGAGAGGGCACGCTCGCGACTCAAAGGCGAGAAGCACATGTTGGAAACGATCCGTTTTTAATCCGCGAAGTGGTTACAATTTTCAAAATCGAATGTGCGCGGCGCCAAGGCGAAAGCATTTTTTTTACCACCCGCCCCTAAGCCGTGGATCTTCTGCATTTGTTTAAAACGAATGTGCCGCTGGGGCGAGAGCCACATGTTCAAAACGGCCCGCCCTCTATCTGTGAAGTTGTGGCCAACCTTTCAAGGAACAGGGTCATGATTTGTGAGGGCGTCTTAATGTAAACACCCGGCTCGCCTTTTCGACCATTTTCGGGTTGCGACAGGGAGAAATTAAAGCGAAGGCCTTACGGCTGGTGCTGCCGACCCTGAGGTTGGGGAGGAGGGCGCGGAACATGGGGAAGAAGATGAGGAGGGGGACAGGAGGAAGAGGTGGATGAGAAGGAGTAGGAGCACAGGCGGGGAATGAATAGGAGGAGAATGAGGCGAGCAGGGTCGCGTGCACAGGTGGAGGGGGGGGGGGCGCGAAGGAAAGGCAGGGACGAGTAGAGCATGGCGATCATGAGGAGGAGAAAAAGGAGGAAGAGAATGGCGAGGATGTTGACGATGTTGACGATGACGCCGGTTGCCTATCAGGACCATTCGGGGCGTCTTTGGGCCCTCCTGGGGCGACTTCCAGGTTTCGTTCGCTGTTTTGAGGCTAGGTGTGGCATCTTTCTGACGGATCTGGTTAGTTAGTAAGTGTTGGCGGAAATTTGCACGACATCAAATTCATAATTGGGGCCTATGGTTGGACTCTGCAGCGATCTGATATTTTCTCACATGGCACGCCGTGTATTTGTTCGTCAGAAAGGCAAACGACGTTTTGCAGAATACAGACTAGCAGCTCCGCGCTTTATATTCAATTCGCCAAGTGCACGTGATGTCGTCTTCGGCTTTCTGTAAACCGCATAAGATTTCAGCGCGCGGAGAGGGATTAAAACAGGGTTTGGGTCTTCTACGAAGGCATGCCTTGAAACGCCATACGTCGCATCGACATGCTTTGTCAGCAACCTCTGCACTAGCACATGCGGCTCGTCGTCGTCGCGCACCACCCGAAACCAAATTTGCACTGCTGAATGGCCGCTGTAAGATCCCATAATAACGATATCACCTTGCTCGATGCGCCCATACTCCTACGGGGGCTTCTTTACTTGAAACGACAGACAGGGTGCCACGACGCATGCGTTTCAACGCATTCAGCAACTTCTGCGTTGTTGTAGTGGCGTCGTGCTGATCATCTGAGATACGCATAGTCTTCAAGTCGTGAGCGTGCTGCGCCGTGAGTTGCACCATTAAGGCCTTGTGTCTTGTTTTCCTTGCACATTTGATATTTTGCGAAACGTTTCACGAACTTGTGTTTGCGTTGCCCGAACAAAACAGTTCAGCCCCCACACGCCGTCCAAACATGTTTGCAAAATGGGTGGACATGTGATCTGTGTAAGCCCAGCGGCGTTCACCATAGGCATGCAAATGGCAGCGAAGATGTTGCAACGCAGCTGCCTCGATCTGCGCGGCAGTGCAAGGAAGACGCCGCGCAGTCGCGATTATCACATCAATGGTCTCTCGCAGTGCCAACATGCTTGATATCTGGGGAACCACTCGTACTGGCGCCAAGCTTGGTAATGACTTGGCGAGTGTATCCACACATCACAGGGACTGTTGAGAGCTCCTCCGAAGCACCCGCCAGAGGGGGAGGAGAAGGAGGAGGAGGAGGAGGAGGAGGAGGAGGAGGAGGAGGAGGAGGAGGGGAACAGGTGGGGAACAGGAGGAGGAGGAGGAGGAGGAGGAGGAAGAGGAAGAGGAGGAGGAGGAGGAGGAGGAGGAGGAGGAGAAGGAGGAGGAGGAGGAGGAGGAGGAGAGGGGGGGAATGAATAGGTGCAGGACGAGGCGAGGGCCTGTAGGAGAGGGCGTGATAGAATGCTTTGGCTCATGGCCCGTGTGAGGCATTGTGTGGGCCCCGGGACCCCCGGAGGGGGAGTCGTATCTGACGCGTGACCCCCCCCCGGAACCCCCCCCGGGACCCCCTCCCCGCGGCAGGGAAGGGATCAAAGGAAAGGGGCTTCCCTTCGACTCAATGACAACGTTGCTCTTGACCTTGAGGGGGAGGCCCCGTGAAAACTGGGGGGAGCGGCGATGGGCCCGGGGACGAGGGGGAAAGGGGAGGAGGGGAGACGGGCCCAGGGAAATGGGGAGCGCAGGGACAGGAGACGACTGGCCCAGAGAAAGGGTGGACAGGAGACGACGAAGGCGACGAGGAACGAACGACGGGAACGGAGAAGCCCTTCACACACGCCGACACAGGGTCGGTGGATTTATAAAGAAGAGGAATGGAGGTGGAGGAGGTGGATGGGGAGGAGGAGGTGGAGGGGGAGGTTTTTTGTTTGTTCGGCGTTCCTTTGGTTTTCGGTTCCCTGTTGGTTGTCGGCGCCGTTTTGGTTTTCGGCGCTCCTTTGGTTTTCGGTCTCATTTTGGTTTTCAGCGTTCCTTTGGTTTCGGCGCCCCTTTGGTTTTCGGCGCACCTTCGGTTTTCGGCGCCCTTTCGGTTTTCTGCGGCTCTTTGGTGTTCAGCGTTCCGTTGGCTCTCGGCGCCTTATTGGTCTTCGGCGCTTTTTCCTTTCGCCGAGGGGGTCTTTCGGCGCTTTTTCCTTTTGCCGAAAAGGAAGGGATGGAGGGGGCCTTCCGGCAGAGGGGGTTCGAAGGGAATGGGTGGAGGGGCGCTAAGCTCACTTTTCCTTTGGAGAGGGATGGGGGGAGGGGCTTCTTCCGCGCGAAAGAGGGGGAGGGGGGTTTCCGAGGGCCGAGAAGAAGAGGAACAACAACTTCAGAAAGGGGGGGGCTTCCTGCAGGGGAGGTCCAAAGGTGGGAAGGGGTACTCCAGATTTCGTAATAAAAGGGAGGGGGTCTGGACCGTCCAAGACAAGCCATTTCAGACCTCCCCCGTGGGAGAACCCTCCAAAACATCGTCCCCAGACCCCCCCAGGCCCTCCAAGATAGCCTGGAAGAGCCCCCCCCGAAATGAGACCCCCCTCCCTTTATTACGAAATCTGGAGTAGCCTGGGTAGTCGAAGGCCAGACTGTCAGATTGGATTGGGCCCCAAGGGCCAATCTGGCCCGGCCAAACTGGATGATTTGGGTTATTCGCCAGACTGGATTCGCGTTGGCTCCCTCGCCAGATTGCCCCCGTTTGCCAGATTGGGCCTGCCAGATTGGCGCCAGATTGGCTTCGACTACCCAGGTAGCTGAGCCCACCCCCAACCCCTTTTGGAACAGGAAAGAGGGGACGGGGAGTCCTTTTGGTTTTCTGCGCTCCTTTGGCTTTCGGCACCTCTCCGGTCTTCGGCGCCCTTTTGGTCTTCGTCACCCCTTTCGGTTTTCGGCGTTCCTATGGTTTTCGGCGCGCCTCTGGTTTTCGCGCCCTTTCGGTTTTCGATGGCTCTTTGGTGTTCGGCGTTCCGTTTGTTTTCGGCGCTCTTTTGGTTTTCGGCGTTCCTTCCTTTAGCCTGGGAGAGGGGGGGCTTCCGCCCCCCGCCCTGTTGCCTAAAAGGAGGAAGGGGAGAGGGGGCTTTCGGCAGAGGGGATTCCGGGGGGGGGGGGGAGTAGGTAAGCCCCTCTCCCCCCCTGGAACTGGAGGAGGGGGGCAGCTTCCAGAGCGCGAAAGGGGGAAGGGGGGTGGGGAATTTCCGAGGAGGGGAAAGAAAGGGAGGGGGCCCAACAGATGAGGTCCAAGGGAGGGGGGTAGCTAAGCACCTCCTCCCTTCTCTGGGCAGGGAGGACGGGGGGGGGGCCTCCCAGAGCGCGACATTGGAGGGGAGTCTCTTCCCAGGGGCGGGAAGAAGGAGAGAGGCGGGGCCACCGGCAGGGGAAGTCCAAGGGGAGGGGGGGGGGGGAGCAGACCAAAGGGGGACCCCCTCCCCTTTTGGGAGTGTGCCACGGGCGCGCTCTCTCAAAGGTATCCCTCCTGCGCACCGTATGGGCCTAAAAGGGGCACGTAAGGTACACTGGTTTCTCCCCCCCCCACTTATCCCCACCCCCAGTACGCAACGCCCAACCTGGCCGCCACCTCCTCCCAACTCCTCCCCCCCTTTCCCCCGCCCCTTCCCCTCCCCCTCGCAAGCCCCTCCCCCCCTTCCCTTGTCGTCGTTCTTGCCTCTCCCCCTTCCCCCTTGCCTTCTTTGCGCGCTTGCTCCTGAAGCATGTCGCCCGCGACTCTGATCCGTACACGACATGAGGCCGCGGCCTCACGCGTCCTGCCCCGCAGGGCACGGGCACAGCTGGGTGCCCGACTCCGGCGCCTCCGCTCCCCCCCCGTGGGCAGACGGGAGGTCCCCGACTGGATGGGCTGCGACCTCTCCGTCTGCCGGGTGCTGCAGGCCCCCCCTCCTCTCCGCCGCGCGTGTGGGCACCGCGTGGCTCGGCTCGGCTCGGCTCGGCTCGGCTCGGCTCGGCTCGGCTCGGCTCGTCGTCGTCATCGTCGTGGTCTTGGTCGTTGTCGTCGTCGTCGTCGTCGTTCCTGTCGTCCTCGGGAAGGAAGGAAGGGAGGAAGGAAGGAAGGAAGGACGGAAGGAGGAAGGAAGGAAAGACGGAAGGAAAGGGAGAAGAGGGGAGGACTAGAGGAGGAAGGTCCCTGCTCCTTCCTGTAATGTCGTCGTCCCTCCTTTCTTCGGTGGTTCAAAGACGGGGTCCTGAGGGATGGGGTCCTTCGGACGAGGTGCCCCACGTAAACTGACCTTTGGATCCTGTCCTATTCACAGGGCCCCATCCCTCAGGACACCATCTACGAACGCCCGATGTATTCTATTCCTTCCCGAAGGCGACAAGGACGAGGAGGACGACGAGGAGGACGATGACCTGGGAGAGGCAGGGAGGACGAGTAGGAAGACGACGAGGGCGAGCACGGACGCAGAGGGAGGAGGAGGAGGAAGAGGAGGAGGAGGGGGAGGAGGAAGAGGAGCAGCAGGAGGAGCAGAAGGGGTAGGATGAGCAACATCAGCAACGGCAGTAGGAGGAGCATGCTGACGACGAATCGGCGCTTTCTTCGGTCTGTTGGTGCTTTCTTTTAGATGTTGGTCGTCGTCGTGTTCGTCACCTTCATCCTCGCTACCCGTATTATTTAGTTTTGCCCGTGGTCATCGTCATGTTATTCTTATGTTGTTAGTATTATTATTATTATCATTTCCTGGAAACATTAATCATCTTGCTACCCCATTTTTCTTCCTTGTCGCTGGGCGCCGTGAACCTTAGTGAATCTACGTTACTTTGGTCCTTCATTATTCTCCTATTTCTTTTTCAGTTTGTTTCCGCCAGGGATTGCAGCCGTGTTTTCCAGAAGGGCAGGTGATCCGTGCTTCTCTTCATTTTCTGAAATGTCCCGACCTTCTGGTGGCTTGTGCATTTCGGTTCCCTGATCGGCTGTGGACGTTCTGCTGAGCGTCCGAGCGCACCTGCGTAGGCATATTTGTTCACACAAGCACCTTCATGTATTCCGTACCAGACGTGGCTCCAAGAGCAGGTTGTGGCACAACATTCGGCGGCGAGCGAGTGGGTACGTGAGAAGGAGAAGACCCTCTCAGAAGGCTCGGAAGTCCTCCAGCCTGCTGACAAGTTTTTCAAGCGTTTCCCGAAGACGCAGAACACTTCTCAGAAGTTGCGAGGGTTTCTGAGACGTCCCGCCGCCTTCTGAGAAAGTTTTCTCCTTCTCATTTCCCCCCCTCGCTCGCCGCCATCAAATGGAGTCGTCGGATCACGTCCTATCGCCGACGCATCGGCGATACGGCGCGATGTGGAGCCCGAGTTTGCTCGCGCCGAAGTCGCCAACGCAGCGGTGATGCATCGGCGATGCGGCGCAACCCTTTGGTACCAACCACTCGAAACCACTTTCAGGAGGCCTCTGAAGGTGTGTTTCGGGAAGGAACTCCGCTGGATGCTCCCAGGTCACCCCCAGGGGCGCGAAGATATCCACACTTCGCGCGTCGCGGCTGGGGCGGCTGAGCTGGACTTCTCCAGGGGGCGACGCAAGGGCGCGAAGGCAACCGCGGGGCGCGATGCGCGAAGCTGGGGGGGCCAGATACTCATACGTCCTATCCCCAGGGATCGTCCGCAGCGATCATCTTCCTCTGACGCCACCCCTGCCCCCATCCCACCTCTGCGCCCCCCCCCGACGTGCGGCCCCTTTCATGCAGCTCGGAAGTTCTTTCCAGAGTGCCCGCAGGAGGCTCCAGGAGGCGCAAGAGGCTCCGACATAGTCCTCTCCTTTCTCCTCCGCTATTGGATGACTTCTGAACTTTTGATTCATGACGCGAGTACTTTTTGGTGGCGTGCGGACAGCGGGCGCGAGGCGCATTCGCCGACGCCCGGTCGCGGTGCCCGCTTAGTCGGGCACCTTCATTCAGGCGCTTCTTTTACGGGTCTTCTGACCCTTGCGCTAAAACCACCTTCTGCGCTTGCTGAGCTCTAGCACAGGGCCAACTTCGATCCGATCGATCGAGGGAGCGCGGTCCACCGCGGCTGTGCTGAACAAAATCCCTGAGAGGGGGGTCACAGAACCTGGGGGGGGCTCCCCCCCACACACAAAAAACAACATCGCTGAGGGGCGGGTCTGAAACCGGGGGGACGGACCCCCTCCCACTCCCAACCCCCTCCCCTGCACAACCCCCCCCGTCCCAAAGAACCCGGAGGTCCGACCCCTCCCCGAAGGCCCCCTTTCGAACCCCCCCCGCATCCCCCATCCCCTCCCCAGGCCCCCCCGGGGGGGTTCGAACCCCCCCCATTCGCCACCGGCAAACGTCGACTACTACGACGACGACGATGACGACGACGCATTCTTGCGCCGGAGGGGGGTCGAACCCCCCCCCCCCGCGGGCCCCCAGGGGTTTCGAACCCCCCTTCCTTCCACTACACGCCGGTGGCAGCCTCGACGACGACGACGACGAAGACGACGACGACAACGACGACGTCGACGACGACGACGACGACGACGACGACGAGGACGACCGCGACACGACGACACAACGACGACGACGACGACGACGACGAAAACGACGACGACGAAGACAACGACGACGAAGATGGCGTCGACGACGACGACGACGACGACGACGACGACAGTCGGACCCTATCGGACGGGTCGGGCGGACGGACTCTAACGGGCGGGTCGGGTCGGGCGGGCGGGACACTAAAGTCTGATGCGTATACAGCATGACGCATGAGAACCCTAACGGACTGGCCAGTACGGGCGGACCTTATCGGGCGGGACGGGTCGGGCGGGCGGGACTCTAAAGTCTGATGCGTATACAGCGTGAAACATGAGACCCTATCGGGCGGGTCGGGACGGGCGGACCCTATCGGGCGGGTCGGGCGGGTTGACCCTATAGGTCGGGTCGGGTCGGGCGGGCGGGACACTAATGTCTGATGCGTATACAATGACACATGAGAGCCCTGACGGACGGGTCGGGACGGGCAGGCCCTATCGGGCGGGTCGGGCGGGCGGACCCTAACGGGCGGGTCGGGGCGGGCGGGCGGGACAGTAAAGTCTGAAAATGCGCCAGTGGATCTCCCCGAATACACTAAAGGGGGGGGTCCAAAAGCCCCCCCCCTCCCCCCTTCAAGGGGGGGGGGTCCGGACCCCCCTTTTTCTCCCCTAAGGGGGGGGGGCCCGAGGGGTAGTGGCAGTGGGTAGTGGCAGTGGGTAATGAGTAGTGAGTAGCGAGTAGGGGGTAGCGAATAATGAGTAGTGAGGAGCGAGTAGGGCGTAGTGAGTAAGTGAGTAATGAGTAGAGAGTAGGCAGTAGTGATTAGTGGGTAGGTGATCAGTGAGTAACGAGTAGGGAGTAGCGAGTAGTGAGTCGTGAGTAGTGAGTAGGGAGTAGGGAGTAGGGAGTAGTGAGCACCGAGTAGTAAGAAGTGGGTAGCGAATAGTGGGTAGCGAGTAGCGATTAGTGAGTAGTAGGTAGTGGCTAGTGACTAGTGCGTTGTGACTAGTGACTAAAGACTATGTAGTGACTACTGAGTAGTGCGTAGTGAGTAGTGGGTCGTGAGGAGTGAGTAGGGAGGAGGGAGGAGGGAGGAGGGAGTGGTGAGTAGGGAGTAGTGAGTAACGAGTAGTGGGTGGTGGGTAGTGAGTAGTGGATAGTGAGTAGTGAGTCGCGAGTAGTGAGTAGGGGGTAGTGAGAAGTGAGTAGCGAATAGCGAGTAGTCAGTAGTGGGTAGTGCGTAATGAGTAGTGAGTACTCTTTGGGGCTGGGGTGAGTGGTTGGGGTTAGGGTTAGGGGTTTGGGTTAGGGTGAGGACTAGGGGTAGGGGTGGCGGGGGCCGGGTTCCGGAGTCAGGTGGCGGCGTGGCGAAAGGGGGGGAGGGGGGGGGTCGGACTCCCCCCCCCTCTTTGAAAAGGGGGGGGTCCTCGACGACGGATCGGGGAAAGGGGGGAAGGGGGGGTTTCCGACGACGGAATCGGGGGAAGGGGGGAGGGGGGGGGGGGGTCCCGACGACGGATCGGGGAGGGGCGGCTAGGTTCTACCCCCCCCCTTTGCCCCCCCCCCCCCCCCCCGTCTGGGATCCAGCGGCTCACCTTCGTAAGTCTGACGCCACATGAACACCCTAACGGGCGGGTCGGGACGGGCGGACTCTATCGGGCGGGTCGGGCGGGTGGACGCTATCTAGCGGGTCGGATCGGGCGAACTCTATCGGGCGGGTCGGGCGGGCGGACCCTAACGGGCGGGTCGGGTCGGGCGGGCGGGACATTAAAGTCTGATGCGTATACAGCGTGGCACATGAGAACCCTAATGGGCGGGTCGGGACGGGTGGATCCTATTGGGCGGGTCGGGCGGGCGGACCTTGTCGGGCGTGTCGGGTCGGGCGGGCGGGACAATACAATCTGATGCGCATACAGTATGCCTCCTCTCTCCTCCTCTTCCTCCTCCTCCTCCTCCTCCTCCTCCTCCTCCTCCTCCTCCTCCTCCTCCTCCTCCTCTCCTCCTTGTTCTCCACCTCCTCCTCCTCTTCCTCCTTGTTTTCCTCCTTTCCCTCCCTCTCCTAATCCTCCTCCTCCTCCTCCTCCTCCTCCTTCTCCTTTTCCTTCTCCTCCCTCTCCCCTTCGCGTTCTCTCGCCCACTGCCGTTCCCACCCCTGAACCATCGCCCCCTCCCGCTGCTGTTCCTCCTCCTCCCCCGCTCCTCTCCCTCGTCCTTCTTCTCCAACGCGGGTGGACGGGCGCTGGCGCAGATCTGCGACGATGTCGTCCGTCGTCGTTTGCTGGCGGCGAGTAGGGGGGTGTGGGGGGGGAGAGAGAGAGGGGGGGGGATTGAAACCCCCTGGGAGGGCCTGGGGAGAGGGGCCCCCCCCTGGCGCAAGACTGTGTCGTTGTCTTCGTCGTTGTCGTTGTCGTTGTCGTTGTCGTCGTCGGCGGCTGCCGGCGGCTGAAGGCGGAGGGATTCGAACCCCCCCGGGAGGGCTCGGAGGACGCGCAATGGGAGGACGATCGAGGAGGGGGCAGGGAGGACTGCAGCAAGGGGGGCCCGAAAGGGCCCCCTTCGGGCCCCAAAGGGGGCCTTGAAGGCCCGAGAAGGGCACCCGTCTTCCCCCCCCTTTTCACCGCCCCCCCGTTCATTCGCGCCCAGCCCACGTGCTGCAGCCCGCCGTGCCGGCACGGCCCTCGAGCTGCGGCTCGCGCAGCACTGCGGGGCCCCCTGCGCTGCTCGGCCGGCCCACTGGGAGCCTAGTCCTAGATGAGGCCTGCCAGGCCCCCTATAAGCGCCCGCGTGCGGGCCGCGCCGCGGCCTCGGGTCGGCCCTCCGGGGGGGATCTCGTTGACGCAGTAGAGACCCCCACTGCGTGCTGGATGTGTTACGGGGCGCCCATCCCGTAGAACCCCTTTCTGGATTCTGTAGCAGTTCGGAGCAGGCCAGGAGCGGTAACGGCAACCAGCGCGACGGTCCGCACATGGGCATTCCTGTAGGCGGAGCTTTATAAGGCACTCCCACATGTAGGTCGGCTGGCCCACCCACCTGTCAGGCTGCGACCCGCGGGCCGGTTGAATTCCCTGCATGTCTTTGGCCCCCCCGCCACTGCCTCCGCGGTAGCACGAGCACCGAGAATCCCGAAGCTGGGAACACCCCGGGCACCTCGTCAGCAGATGGCCCCGGTCAGCAGACAGTCCCTCGTGCGAGGTACTTCTCCAGCCCAGAGCCACGCCCGCCAGAGCCTCGTTAGCCGCGTCAACCACGTGCCGTTGGCGCCCTTCCACCCCTGAGGGTAGCCCGCGAAACCTCCGGCGAGCCGGAGGGGGCGGGAGAGGCTGCCACAGCGCCGTGGGATCGTTCCCGCTCCCCGCCAGACTTTCGTCGGTAGGTGAGGTTGGACTTTCGGCAGCAGTGTGGCAAGGACATGGGTACAGCCACCTCCGAGCCTCCCCCTGCCGGGCCGCGGCCGTAGCCGTAGCCGGGGAGCCGACAGGCCCCCTATGGTTCTTTACTCATTGTCTGTATGGTGGCACGATGACCGTAGCAAGCCCCAGGTCCCCCGAACCCGAGGCATACGTCTCTCCGCTCGTTGTCGCTCCAGCCGATGCTCGCAGCAGCTCCAGCAGCTCGCGAACCTTGCCGCCCCGGTGGCCACCGCACGGCGCGCTGCCACTGCGGGGGGCTCCTGCGCGCAGGGCCGGTGCTCTCCGCGGCGAGCTCGGCGCGCAGCGGCACGTTGGGTGGTGTTGAGCGCGGCCTCCCAGGGCTCCGAGAGATCGCGAGCGTGCGTGAAGGTGGAGGATGGGGTGAGCGTGGACGTGGCGGAGGAGGAGGAGGAGGAGGAGGAGGAGGAGGAGGAGGAGGAGGAGGAGGAAGGAGGAGGAGGAGCAGGAGGTGGGAGGAGGAGGAGGAGGAGGAGGAGGAGGAGGAGGAGGAGGAGGAGGAGGAGAGGTGAGGGGAAGGAGGAAGGGGGAAGGCGAGGAGCATGGGAGGGAGGAGGAAGGGGAGGAGGAGGAGAGGGGAGAGGAGGAGGAGGAGGAGGAGGAGGAGGAGGAGGGAGGAGGAGGAGGGGAGGAGGAGGAGGAGGAGGAGGAGGAGAAGGAGGGAGGAGAGGATAGGGGGAGAAGAGAGGAAAAGAGGAGGAGGGAGGAGGGAGGTGGCGATGGTGGAGGAGGAGGAGGAGGAGGAGGAGACGAGGAGACGAGGAGACGAGGAGACGAGGAGGGGCCACGTGTCCGAGCCACGCTTCCCACGCCTTCTTCTAGGGGGCAGTGGGGCGGGACCGCCCCCAAACCCCCAGGGCCCCAGGAGAGTGGAGGCGGGGGCAATGGGGAAGGGTGAGGACAATGGTGACGACGACTGCGATACGGAGGAGGACGAGGGACGAGCCCAAGAAGAGCGCGGCATCAGGGCGTCGGGAGCCTGGGCAATCAGGGCGGGGTGGGAACGGGTGGGGGCCGGGGCGGGCCTGAATACTCTGGAGAGGGCGTTGCCCCCGCCCTCTCAGAATCCTGCCGCTACGGCCAGGACGACGACGATGACGATGGCGGCGACTGAAACGACGACCAGGACAACGACGATGACGATTACGACGAAGACGACGTTGCCGCCGCTGCCGACGACGGCAACGACGACGACGACGACGACGACGACGATGACGGCGACGGCGACGGCGACGGCGACGGCGACATCGACGGCGGCGGCGACGGCGACGGCGGCGGCGGCGGCGACGGCGACGGCGGCCGCGGCGGCGGCGACGAGGACGAGGATGGCGGGTGTGCCACAGCAGGACACGAGCATGCAGATAGCGGCCAACATCCGGGCGCTGGGCAAGCAGCTGCACGGTGCGTGCGGCCAGGCGTCGGGGCGCCCTCCCCCGTGGGGGAGGGGCAGGAGGAGCAGCAGGAGGTGACGAGGGGTAGCGGCTAGGAGAAGGAGGAGGCGACGAGGAAGAGAGAAGAAACAGGAGCGGGCGACGAGGAGAGGTCGACGAAAGGAGCACGAGTCGACGAGGAAGAGGGGCAGGAGGCAACGAGGGCCAGCTCGCAGGCGAGGAAAAGGAGGACCACAGTAAAGCGAAGGTGCATCAACGGTGCTGCGATAAACCCTGTCCCAAGTCCCCCTCTCACGCTCCCACAAGCATTTCTTTCAAGCGTCCTCATTGAAAGACCAGCACAGTTGGACCTGTCATTTGACCGAGGGCCCCCCTTTGAAAATGGACTTGCCCTGCATCTTTCCGGTTGCGCGAAATCAGAAACGCGGAGACTGTGATAATATAGTTCAACAAGCTGTTCAACAACATGTTTCCCAATGTCTTAAGTGAGGTCCTTGTTTTCTCTGGACACCCCGAACAGGAACAGGAGCAGGAACCCACGCACATCATCATCATCATCACCATCATCATCATCATCAGCATCATCAGCATCAGCATCAGCATAAACATCATCATCAGCATCATCACCATCACCATCATCATCATCTTCATATCATCATCATCATCAGCATCATCATCATCATCCCCATCATCATCAAATCCATCTTCATCATCATCATCAGCAGCAGCATCAGCATCAATATCATCATCAGCATCAGTATCCTCATCATCAGTATTATCATCACCACCATCATCATGAACATCATCACCCCGTTCCCCTCGCCACTCACTCATTCACACATTCACACACTCACTCATCATCATCAGCATCATCAGCATCTTCATATTAACTCAGCCACTCACCCAGTCACCCTCTCATCATCATCATCATCATCATCATCATCATCATCATCATCATCATCACCACCACCACCACCAGCATCATCGACATCACTCCAGCACTAAATCAGACACACACAAACACACAACCACACTCACACACTCACACACCCGCACATTCATCTTGAGGAAGTCTAGGGCGGGAGCCTCGTCTGTGAGTGAGTTGCGAGGAAGTCTCAGGCGGGAGCCCCCCTCCCCCTATGATACCCGCAGATCACGTCATTAAGCCGAGCGAGTCGTCGGAAACCTGTAAATGTTGTAATCTTCGGGCTCCTGGGGCCTGAATATAGGAGAAGCATCAGGCGGGAGCCTCGTCTGTGATTGAATTGCGAGGAAGTGTTTGGCGGGAGAGCCCTCCCTACAGGGCCCGCAGGTAATGCTTTTGATCCGAGCGGGTCATCTGAAACATGTAATTGTCATTTTTGGGCTTCTGATGATTGGATATGGGGGAAGGAAGCATCAGGCGGGAGGCTTATTTGTGAGTGAGTTGCGAGGAAGTCTCAGGCGGGGGGCCCACGCCTATGCGACCCGCAGATCATGTTACTAATCCGAGCGGGTCATCGGAAACATGTAGCTGTCGGTTTTGGGTTCCTGAGGCCTGAGTGTGGAGGAATCATCAGGCGGGAGCCTCGTCTGTGAGTGAATTGTGAGGAGGGTTTTGCGGGGAGCCCCCTCCCTATAGAGCCCGCACCTAATGTTATGAATCTGGCCAGGTCATCGGATACGTGTAATTGTCGTTGTTTCGGGGGTCTTGAGGCCTGAGTGAGCGTGGAGCCTCGTCTGTGAGTGAATTGCGAGGGGGTGTCGGGCGGGAGCCCCCTCCCTTTGGGGCCCGCACCTTATGTGATGAATCCGAGCGGGTCATCGGAAACTTGTAACTGTCGTCATCTTTGGGCTCCTGAAGCCTGAGAATGGCGGGAGTCTCAGGGGGGCGTTGGCAATCCGAGCGTTGTATGCCGAGCTGGTCGTCGGCAAACTTGTTGCCTTCAGGGGCCCGCGTCCCCCAAATCTCAGAGCGTGAATTACCTACCCCGCTTTCGCTTCCAGGCAAAACCAAGCCATACCACGCGCCTCCTCGTCAAGCAGCCTGACCAGTACAGACTGCAATTTAGCATCGTTTGGTATCTCTCGGAAGCGAGGGTGATCAAAAGCGAAGTAGGTTTGTTTTCCCCCTAGAGCTGGTCGTCGGCAAACTCGTTGCTTTCATGGGCCCGCGGCTCCCAAATCGGGGAGTTCGCTCGATGCCGCAGCAGCAATCGGACACACGGGCGACTGAGGAGCCGACGACGACGACGACGACGACCGACGAGACGGCGGCCGGGCGCAAGGGTAGGAGGAGGAGGAGGAGGAGGAGGAGGAGGAGGAGGAGGAAGAGGAGGCGGAGGAGGAGGAGGAGGGCGGAGGAGGAGGAGGAGGAGGAGGAGGAGGGGCGGAGGAGGAGGAGGAGGGGCAACCCATCCTCGGCCGAGTCGGGGGCAGGGGCAGCCCCCGGTCTCCAGGCCGCCGGGGGCGGCCCCTCGGCGGCCGCCGCGGGCGCAGGGGGAGGTCCTGGCAGCCGGGCTGGGGGCGGCGGCCCATCTTCGGCCGAACTTGCCATATTGCGAAGGCCTCACGTCAGAGATAACTCCTCCTCCTCCTCCTCCTCCTCCCTCCTCCTCCTCTCTCCTCCTCCTCCTCCTCCTTCCTCCCTCCTCCTCCTCCTCCTCCTCCTCCTCCTCCTCTACGGCCAGGAGCAGAAGCTCCTGGCCGTAGACCCCCGCCGCAGGCGCAGAGAGAGCGATTCAGAGCCCCGAATCATCAGGGGTAACTCGGGTCAGGGCTAACTCGGGTTCCTTTTTCGGGAATCCGAGCCCGAGTTGTCCCGGACCCGAGTTACCCCGGATAACTCGGGCGCCCAATTACGGCCGGTGTTGCCGACCCTGAATGGCGACGACGACGACGACGACGTCGACGACGACGACGACGACGAGCGCTCTTGGGGGCCTCTTGGGGGTAGTTTGTGGGCCTCTTGGGAAGCTCTTAGAGGCCGCTTGGAAGCCTCGTGGGGGCCTCTTGGGGCTTCCTGGGGGTCTCTTGGAGGGGACCTGGGACGTCTTGGAGGCTTCTGAGACGCATCTTCGGCCGAACTTACCATATTTCTAATGTGTGTTTCAGTCGCGTTTCCAAGCGCCTCCTCTCTTGCTTGTGAACATTGGGACGCTAGCGCAAGTGTTTTTCATGATCTTCGGTTCGGCAACCGGGATGTGCTTAGATTTCTGTTGAAGTTGCTCCCGCTCTAGACGTGGGAGAAGGAATCTGCAAAGGTTGCCTTTCTGCTTTCGTTCGGCCAGAGAGGGAGCCTGCAAAGGCTCCTGCTCTAGCCGCTGGAGTGGGAGGCTGCAAAAGGTTCCCTCTCCTGCTTTCGTTCGACTCGAAAGGGAGCCTACAAAGGCTCCCGCTCTAGCCGCTGGAGAGGGAACCTGCAAAGGCTCCCTCTCCTGCTTTCGTCCGGCCACGGGAGAGGGAACCTGCAAAAGGGTTCTTTTCCTGCTTTCGTTCGGCTGTAAAGGAACCTGCGAAGGCTCCCGCGTTCAATTCGTTGCAGGTAACCTGCAAAAGCCCCCGCTCTAGCCGCGAAAGGGAGCCTGCAGAGACCCCCTCTCCTCCCGGCGTTCGGTGGGAGAGGTGACCTGGAAAGGTTCCCGCTCCCGGCTCCCCCCTGCGTAGTGTCGAATTGATTATGTATGTTTCGGGATGTTCTGTGTTTTGGGGGAGCTTGCGGAAGTCCCCGGAAGTATCTGGACGTTGGCACAGTGTGATGTAATGTGATGTAATGTGGGACCAAAGAACAGCAGAGATCTCCAGATATCACCAGAGAGCAGCAGGGAGCAGCATAGACCAGAAGGGAACAGCAGCACGGACCGGGAAGGCGGGGGGGGGGAAAGCAGGAGGGCGAGGAGGGGACAACGTAGGGAGTTGGAGCTTGTGCCAGGGCGAGAGGGAGAATGACGCAGAGGAAACAGTAAGGACGCCTCGAAAGATTGCAACACAACCCGGATTTGTTTTTGCAATCCTTCGAGGTTTTTGTTGCAATCCGTCGAGGAAGGATTGCGACGGGTTTTTTTGCAATCCTTCCTTCGGGTTTTGTTTTGCAATCCTTCGTTTTTTTGTTTTGCAATCCTTCGAGGAAGGATTGCGAAGGGTTTTTGTTGCAATCCTTCCTTCGGGTTTTGTATTGCAATCCTTCGTTTTTTTTTGTTTTGTGTTTTTTTTGTTTGCAATCCTTCGGGTTTTTTTGCAATGCTTCAATCACGAGGACGGCGATGATGGTTGTTCCCGGGCTCTCCTGAAGGCTTCTCCTGCGGGGCCCCGCCGTCGGAGCAATTTTCGAGGAGCGGCCGCGCCCCCGCCACCCGTGCAGGAGCTGCACGGCAGTGCATGTTCGGCCGTGGGCTTCGAGGACGTCTCTCCTCCTCCTTCCTCTCCTCCTCCCTCCTCCTTCCTCCCCTCCTCCTCCTCCTCCTCCCCCTCCTCCTCCTCCTCCTCCTCCTCCTCCTCCTCCTCCCTCCTCCCTCCTCCTCCTCCTCCTCCTCCTGCGACAGCTCCACTTGGACAAGGGGCCGCCCTGGATGCGTGCAGCGCCAGGTGTGCTGAAGTTTCCGTTCCGCCCCAGTAGCGGCGCCTCAGTCCTCCACCCATCCAAGCGCTGCATCAATACTCCAGATTTCGTAATAAAGGGAGGGGGGTCTCATTTCGGGGGGGGGTCTCTTCCAGGCTATCTTGGAGGGCCTGGGGGGTCTGGGGACAATGTTTTGGAGGGTTCTCCCACGGGGGAGGTCTGAAATGGCTTGTCTTGGAGGGTCCAGACCCCCTCCCTTTTATTACGAATTCTGGAGTAAGGCGCGGCGTTTGTGCAAAAGCTTCACTGTGGAGACGGCACGTGCGCAATCCTTTTGTTTGTGACATGTTGCCGGGGCTGATGACGAATGTGAGCGGCGTCGTAGCGAGAGCCCCGCTTCGAAGAGGGACCGCCCTCCATCCTTGAAAAGACAATGCGGCGCTACAGCGAGAGCACCATTGTGAAAAGGAACCGCCTTTCCACCCCCGAAACGGATGAAAACTGATACTTTTACCGAACATACGCGCGGCGCAGAAGCGCGAACCAGAGTGTGAAAACGCTCCCCACCCTGCATCCTTAATCCGGCTGCAAACGTTTAAGGCGAATGTGCGCGGCGTTGCGGCGAAAGCTATTTTTGGGAGCCGACTTGGGCTACATCCTTGAAGCTGTTGCAAGGGTTTGAGACGAGTGTGCGCGGCGCGTAGGCGAGAGCCACGATTTCATAATGACCCCCTTCCTATGTTTGAAAACAGTTGCAAACTTCCAAGACGAATTGTCGCTGTGCTGCGTCGAAGGAGCTCTTCTGAAAGTGACAGACCTACAGCCTTGAAGCGGCTGCACACTTTCAAGACGAATGCACGCAGGCGTTAGTTGAGAGCAAAATGTTGAAACCAACCTGCGTCCTTCCTTGCAATTGTTGCGAAGTTGTAAGGTGAATGTTCGCGGTGCTGAGGCAGGTGCCACATTTTGAAAGGTAGCCGTCTGCTTCCTTGAAGCTGCTGCAACTGTTGGAATCGAATGCGCGCGGCGATGAGCTCCATTTTTTGGGAACAGCTTGTGCTCCATCCTTGAAGCGGCTGCACACTCTTGAGACGACTGAGCACGGCGCTTATTATACTGCGACAGCCAAACGTTGGAAACGTCCTGTACTCAAGCCATGAAGCTGCTGCAAACTATTACGACGAATGCGTGCGACGTTTAGTTGAGAACCATCTGCGCTACATGCTTGAAGCTCCTATTGATGCCATGCGTGGTCACCAGATCGTATGAGGAAGTCTCAGGCCAAACGCTGGGCCCGCCCTATCGACACGTCTTGCGGGTGCGACAGGGAGGAGCAGGACCAGGCAGGTACGCTCGCGCTATCTCTGACGTCATACCTTTCCCTCCCATCCCTGACCATTGCGTAGAGCCCCTCTCTGTTCGCATAGTCCCGCGTCGAAGAAGACATTATTCCCGAACGGGTGAGCGCCGCGCAGCATAGCATGACGGAACATGGCGCTGGAGAGCACGGAAGAGCGTAGCACGGCGTAGTATGGTGTGTCATTGCGTGGGAGCCAGGGCGGGGAGACGTGAGCTAATGCCGATCCGATAGTATTGCCAGAGTTGCAGCACCATGGCATCTGAGAAATGAGGCCAACGTTGTAACGGGAGTTCCATAGTGAAATGCCAGCACGCAGAGACCAGGGCTGGGGGGCGAACGTCACATGTTGATGCAAGAGCATTGCATGCGCTGCGCCGAGTGCCAGTCCTTCGGACGGAGGTTCCAGGGCAAGTCAGGAATGCGTGTTTAAGAAATGCGACCAACGCTGAAGCCAGAACACCACTGTCAAGAACCGGCACTTCAGACATGGAGCCCACGCTGTAAACGGAACGCTGTTTTGAAAGACCGACACTTCGGAAATGAGGCCAACGTTGTAGCAGGAACGTCGTTTTGTAGTGATTTGACGCCAGCGATGCCGCGGGATCATTTTTGAGAACATCCAAAACGCGAAATGAGGCCAGATTTGCCCAGCGCCGTAGCTGGAGTCCAACATCTAATGACCAGAATCACGGCATTTGGCCAACCCCACAGCGGGAGCACCATTGTGAAGAAACGAGAACACGGAAATGGAGCCAACATTGCAGCGGAAGCAGTCTGAGAACGCACAAGCAATAGCAATGTTGCGAATCCGCTGTGATGTACCGAAAGAGTGGGACGTTCTCAACATGTCTTCGGGGGAGGGAGCATAATATTTAGTAGTTCTCATGTTGCGTAGTAGTGGAGAGGGAAGGGGGAGGGGGAGGGGCGAGGAGGGAGGAACGGGGAGAGAAGAGAGGGGACTCAAGCAGGGAGCATGGAACAGGAAGGAGGAGACGGAGGACCGCCCGCCGACGACGAGGAGGATTTCAGACGAGGACGACGAACGAAGGAGGAAGAGGAAGGCCCTCGCTCCTCATTCCAACCTCCTCCCCACAGTCGCAGTCGTCGCCGTCCCTCCTCCAATTCCTCCGACCAGGGGGGGGGGGTCGGTGGGCGGAGGGGCTCTGCGGCGAAGCGGGCAGGGGCTTGATAGAAGAGAACGACGCGGAAGCACTGAGGGGCACGGTAACGCCGCAGGACACGACGGTTTTCAACCTTGAGCGATCGGGGCCACGATCGACGTAAGGTTGAACAATCGACACGGTACCAGAAACTTCTGCGCGCGCCGGCGTTACACGACCTTTCCGTAGGTCGAGGGACTTGTTCGTGGCCGAGGCTCGCCGTGAAAGGAGAACCCTCTTCGTTCCTTCTTCGGCGCTCCTCGTGCTCGCGGTGGCACGATTGGCCGTACGGCCAAGGCGGGAGGGGGCGGAGGAATTTGGCGGCGCGCACAGGGGGGTATAGGGAGGGGGGAGGGCTTTTTAGCAGCACCCCTGCTTCTTAGAAGGCGCGGGCCTTGTCTGCAAATGTAAGGCCGGCGCCTTCTAAGAAGCAGCCTGCTTCTAAGAAGTTTTCCCCCCTATCCCTACCCCCCTGTGCGCGCCGCCAAGGAATGGTGGCCGAGCGGAGGCTCGCGGGGCCGCCCGCGCCCACTCTCCCCCCGCGAAGGCCACGGCGTGCCTGCCCGCGCCGGAGCCCGGCGGCGAGGACCGCGCGCCGCCGCCGCCGCCGCCGACGGACGGAGGCGGCGGCGGCGGCGGCGACGAAGATCACGACGGCAGCGGTGGCGACTGCGGGGGCGACGACGACAATGATTAGGGCGGTGACCACGGCGGTGACGAGGGCGACGATCGCCACCACGACGGCGGCGGCGACGCCGACGACGACGGCGCGACAGCGACGACGACGATCGCGACGGCGACGACGGCAACGACGGCGACGGCGGCGACTGCGGCCTCACACGGCGACGGTGGCGGCGGCAGCGGGCAGCGACGGCGGCCAGCCCCTGTGCTGCTCGTCTCCATTGCGTCTGCCCCCCCCCCTCTCCCCCCCCACTCATCCCACTCCCCCCCCGCCATCCCACCGTTCGCATTCTTTTCCACCCCCCCCCCCTTGTCGTCATCGTCGTCGTCGTCGTCGTCGTCGTCGTCGTCGTCGTGAGAGCTCTCGGCCGCTACGCCTCCCGTGTGCGGCGCCGTCGTTCTCCCTCGTCTGCGGGGCCCCGCGCGCCTGTACAGGCCCCTTTCGGTTGCGCCGACGAGTGCTTGCCCCGCCCCCGGCCGCCCAGAGGGGGGGAGGACGGGCGGGGGAGGGGAAGGAAGAAAGGAAGGCAGGAAGGAACATGAGGAGGAGGAGAAGGAGGAGGCGGAGGAGGAGGAGAGGGGTTCTTCCTCCTCCTCCTCCCCCCGCCACCCTCCTCCTTCAGGGGCAACAGTGGAGGGGCAAGGGCCCGACAACTCACCCTGCCCAGGACCGTTCGCGCGGTTTCGCTATCCGTGGCCTCTCGCAGATTTATCGGCGATGTATCACCGATTCCAGCTCGGTGTTCCCCACCTTGAGCTGGTCCCCCTTGCCGCTTGCCCATGGGAAGACGAGGAGGAGGAAAAGGAGGAGATGACGAGATGAGAAGTTGGGAGAGGAGGAGGATCTCCAGGATTTCCGCCATCCCGTAGGGATAAAAAAGAGGGGGAGGTCAGACGCCAACTTTGGGGTTCAAGCCCTTCGAAACTATCGAGATATTCTCGTCGGGTCTTGGAAACCAGTAGCGTGCACAGTTTGCCTAAGCGCTTGAGTTGGGCCTGACTTGAAAACACCCATGCAGCACAACACCAGATCATCACACGATTGTGGTAAATTAAGGCCTGTGAGGGATCGACCCAACCACTTGGTAAGTGCATTCTGCGTCCTCGGGGTAGACGGGAAGCAAACCATCCACGGATTGGAGTTGGAAGTGCCCACTTTTCAGCCAGTCGGGCAACGTTTTGATTGCCGAGCCTGTACACACGCTGCACGAACCACCACTTTTGGTCCGGACGTGCGCGGACGAGAAGCGCGCAACGGCAATAGGGGAAGGGGGGAATGCGAGGCGCATGCTTGGGTCCTTCCCTTCGTCCGAGCGCCGGCTGAACTAATCAGTAGCGCTGGGATCGAGGCCTGCGCGAAGCAAGCGCGTCTGGCTTCAACCCGAGCGATCCTGACTGTATCAGCCTGGGGAGCACGAGCACGGCGGGCTGCTTCCTTCGCGAGCTCACCAACCACACAGATTCCTTGGATCATCCAGTTGAGCCATTTTCTTTCAGCAACATCTCTCCCGTCAAGGTGGGGTGGAACATGAATTATTGCGATGACTGGGTCGCGCTGCTGGCTGGCGGGGGTCCTGGCTGTGGCCCTCCATAGATCAGCCGGAGGCCTTGACGGCACGCGGAGGTGGCCTTCGTACCAACCCCTAGCTATTTCAGCACACTCGCTAACATACACGAGCGAGCCCAAGTAGAACTTGACAGCCCATTCGAGGGCCTGGAACTCTCCGCGGGGCACTGTTCGGCTGGCTCCCACCAGAACCCGAGGAGGTGTGGCTCCAGAGCGAAGGGCAGAACGGAAATAAAGCTTGCGATGGCGAAACCTACCCTGCGGAACCTACAGTCGTGGGCGTCGGCCCCCCCCGAAACATCCCCAAAGACAGCGAAGGGTTCATTCCGTAGCCATTTTGGCTCAAGTTCGAAACGCTCCCTTGGCGCTTCGAGCTTGGGCGCTGCCAAGGGGTTGGCCCGAGCGTCCTGAGGTTAAGCCTCGCTTTCTTCTCCAGTCGTGCGCCAAAGCACGCGGTGTTCCAGCCTTCCGTTTGTTCAGTTCGCTGCGATGGGCGGGAAGCGTCTTTCTGAGAGGCGGGGACACGTGATTCGTCGACTGCTTCTTCGTCGAGGCATCGCAGGAACGCCAGTCGCAGCCAGTCTCGTCGCCGTGGAGCCTCACTTGACCCCAGCATCCTTACGAAGCTCGAGCACATTGCAGACAGCATCACTGGCCTCAACCAAGTGGTTCTCCAGAGAACGACAGAGGTGAATGAGTTGCGGTCCGCGGTCCAATCCAGCATCGCTCGCCGTGGGGAGCTAGCTGATCAACTCGCACTTCTCGGGGGGAACGTCTCTCAGCGGCACGCGCAGCTATCTAAGGATCTGGCAGTCTCCCTTCGCGAACAAGACACATTTATTGAGAGCATGCGCAAGGGTTCCTTGGAGCCCAGACGTCTTTCGCGCTGGATGACAGCGGCATGCCAACATCCAGCCGACAGCATAAATGTTCTGAGATCGAGGAGCAGCTGAGGGCCCTTCAGACCGCGCAGCAGGCATCCGCTCAGCAGATTGCTATTATCTTCTCCACTTCCTCGGCCTCGCCCTCGGATTTGCCTTCGGCGGCCTCGCCCCCCCGCGCCCCTGCCTCTCGCCGAGCTGCCCTTGAACGCGTGCATCGCGCTGTGATTGCGGGTTTCACCAGAAAACTAATGCAGACCTCTCGTCGTCGCGCAGGTGAATCTTTTGCGCAGCTGGGCGTTCCCCAAGGACGTCCTCAACCCGCCATCCGCGCGTGCGACCTGACCAAGACGGTGGTGTTTAGACTTCGCTGATGGTTCGCAAGCCTCTGACTTTCTTTCGAACATTGCAGCACGTCCACCCCTGAAGTCCCCCGGCCCTGTCTCCCCTGGTCAATTCTTCTCTCCGCGTGCGAAACGTGACCTGGGCCCTGGCACGCGCCGCCTGTTCCGCGCACGAGCGCGGGCCGCCGTCGCGTCGGCAGTCCAACCGACGGGGAAAGAAGTCGGCAGCGACGGCCTGGGCGGCGACATCTTCGTTCTTCGTCGCGCCGAAGATCTTGTCCTGATATGGCACCTTGAGCTGGCGTCGAGCTCGCTCCCCCGCCCGCAGATGCGCACTGAGTTCGCCGCTGAACAGGTCGCAGAGCGTCACGCATTTATCTGTCAGATTTACGACGCCCTCGTCGCTGGCATTGCGCATCTGAATGAGGGGGCCCCTCTTCAGCAGTTGAGGAACGGGCCATTGGCTGCGGGGGCCACTCACCTGTCTGCCCCGGCGCGCGGTGAGATGGCGAGCCAGTGTTTCCACTGCGATTGCCCCGGGGCGATGCGGGGCCTTCTCTCGCCGCGCTTGCATCTAATGCCCCGTCCCATTGCCCCGGGCCTCGGTCTGAGGGCGTTGATTTTTCCGTCTCGCCCGTGGCTCTCCACGAGCCCCCGAGAATTTCAACGAGTCAGGCTTTTGCGCGGACTCCTTCTTGTTTCAAGGTCGGATCGTGGAACGCGCGTGCTTTCTCTGCGGCGGTGCGGGGCCAGAGCGGGAAGGCCCCGCTTTGTTTCCAACGTTTTCTCTGGCGCTCGAAGGATCTAGACATCGTCTGCGCCCGGGAATCTCATGGCCAAATTGCTGACGTTACGGAATTATCCGAGTGGCTCGTGGCTTTTCCATCGGTCATTCTCTTCTACCTCATCGGGCGTCGGCTGGTGGTGCGCGTCCACCCTCGTCTCCTTCTTCTTTTTACTTCTGTCGTTCACGCTTGCATCCTGGAAGGTCGGGCTCTTGCTACTCATCTCTCTGGCCCTCGCGGTTCAATGCGCATCGTGAATGCCCATGCGCCCAATGCCGACGAACCCCCCCCTTCTATCGTCGCGCGCTTGAATTGATACGTCGTGCCCTCCCGCCGCCCACGGAATCGCTGACGATTGTTATCGCCGACTGGAACTTTGCCTTTGCTTCTGAGGGGCGCGCCCGCGCGGGCGGCTCTGGCTGGGCTGCTGGACGCGAAGCGCGCCCCCCCCTGTGTGCATGCACATGCGCTGGGCGGGCGGAACTGCACCAGTCTGGGGGCACGGGGAGGGAGGCGAGGGATGGCGCGATCATGCACGCTGCGCGCTTGGACCGTGCGTGCACTAATTCGCCCGCGGCTCTATGGCCAGACCCCACTGTTCGTGGCAGTGTCTTGGGGCGTCTTCAGTCGGCCACGGTCTCAGATCACCAGATCACATCCCCCCGGTCGTTCATCTTTTTGTGTTTTCGCAGAGGAATGCCCCGAGGAGGTTGCTTTCCTGGGTCGCAGAGTCGGAACTTGTTGGGCAGCTTCTCAACGTGGCCGCCGAGCCCCTGACGCCCCCCCCCCCCCCCCCCCTAGGGAAAAACGTTCGTGGATCAAGGAGTTGATGTTTGAGGTCGCGGAGGCCGTCGTGGAGCCCCTCTCCCCCCGCATGGCCGATGCGACTGAACTTAAACACGATCGTGCTTTTCAAGCTCTCGGCGCCTGGGCGCCTGGGGGCATCTTTCCTCTCGCCGACGCTATCCGCGCGCGTCCTGCTCTAGCTGCCCACTTCCCTGGCGGCGCCCATTGTGGCGCCAGCGCCCCCGCTCTCTGCGCCCGCGCGCAGGATCTTCACCTCGCCCTGCTGGGCGAGCAGGAGAGGGGGCTCGACAGGGGCGCTTCTCACATCTCTGAAGAGACACTAGATCCGCCCAGAAAGAGAATCACCTGACAGAAAATCACCAGGGCCAAGACGAAACGTAGGACTCGGCCCCAGGGGACGATTGACCATTACGATTTGCCTACAAGTGTTTCCACAGAACAGGCTGTTGTTACGCTTAGTTGTCACTGGTCTCAGATCTTTGCTGCTCCAGCTGAAGATCGTTCTACGCGGCTTGCTCTTACAGCTTGTGTTGCTCCTTTCGCTAATGCACCTGCATCGGCCAGCTGTGCTACTGCACTGGAGGAAGGGGTGGATGGTTAGTGAGTTTGACTGGAGAGTCTTGGCGAGGGGCCGGGTGGGTAGCATGCCGGGTGGAGATGGGATTCCGCCTTCTGCATGGCGGGTTGACGCAGCGCTAGACATTTTGCATGATTGCTAGTGCGAGCTCATCGTGCCCCGTCTGGTGAGATCCCAGCCGGCATGAAAGAGAGCCTTCTGGTGTTTCTCCCGAAGGAAATTCGCGAGCATGAGGTTGGGGAATCGGTTTGCCGTGGCACTTCGGAAACCAGGCCACTGAGCATGGCCAACACGGACGCCAAACTCCCCCCCTCGATGGCCTGGGTCCCCCCTCGCAAGACCGCGTTGTAAGGCCTTCTGCGGGAAACGCAGAAGTGCTTCAAGGGTCGTGACATGCTGGTGAATAGTTTGCAGGCGGAGCTTTTTCTGCTTGAGAAGCACCTGAAGGACAGGTGCGCCGCCGGGCTGGCCCTCGGTGACTTCGAGTCTGCCTCTCC